GTAGTATTGTCCAAAATCAAACAATACCATTGTGCACTCACCAGAAATGACAATAGCGTCATGTGACCGTGATCGCTCGCTTGACTCGAGAATCCACGGGGGACTTTCACGTGTGTGCCCGTGTCAACGTAAAGACGTTGGTAGTCACTCCACTTCCGCTCCGCAGCCGAGATGGCGACTGTGAGAAGAGTCCAGACTGCCACATCTTTTTATATATATTTTTGACTGATTTGAGTGCACCATCCGGGTACTTGCAGCGCACTGCATGTTGCCATACTTGTCAATATGAATGGCGTATGCTCTCAAACTAGCTACACTGTACACTTCATGGGTCAACGTGGCCACAGGTGCAACAAAGCACATTTCTGACCTCAACCTGAGAGGGTAATACAACTGCTTTTCTGCCTGATGTTGTTGCTCTTTAATGTCTTTTATGTGTTATGTAAAGTACTTTGAGTGGCTGGAGGTTGAAAGGTGTTATACAAACAAACTTACCTTGCATTGCCTTTTCTTCTCTCAGTGTCTGTTTGTCTACAATGAACAGGTTTCTTCCTGTGTCTGATTCCTCCACTGGACGGTAAATTGACTGATCAGAGGGACCTGGTCAGAGCTAATCGGTCACAATGTATGAGGACAGTATTATTGTCTTGTCTCTACTACTGTAGAGCGATTTGGAAATAAAACAATTCAAATATTGATTTGCAGGGTTATGGGTGGAATTGTTGGTTAGGAACCCAAAATCTACAAAACACAGACATCAGCAGACACTTGCTGTTAGCCATATAGATATACTGCAGCCATCATCACTTCTTGCTTCTTCTTTCTTCTTCTTTAGGTCTTGTTTTGAGCAGCTGGTTTTGCTCAACTTGTTGTTAAGTGCTGGTTGTTGTAGTCTCAGACAGTTAGCCAAGCAGTGGTGTGTCATTTTGGAGCAGATGTGTTGAGTGAGTGGGTAAAGGGGAGGAGGGGGGTTGTTCTGAGATGTTGAAAACTCTATTGAGCCTTCAACTTTTGGCACATTGCACCATGTGGATTGTTAGCTGGTCAGAAAATGAAACAGATGATTAGTTGAGGTTGACTGAAGGTGACTCACTGTCCAGTCAAATGTATTCAACAGTTGACCATAAACAAAACTCCAGGTTCAAGATGTTTGTCCAACTGCATTGAGAGCTAGGAGTCCCAAACTTTTCAGGGTTGAAAGTGCACATTTGAACCTCTTTGATTTTTATTTTGTTTCTAATCCAAAGTACTTGAGTAAAAATAATAAAAACATAACTTTGTCTTACTTTCTGATTGCACTGTAGACAGTTTGAGGGGTGACTAATGCTTACCAGGAAGCAGGAGAAACAGCAGCAAACACAACTTTACCAGAGGCATGGCGGGGGAACGTAGAAATGACAGACCAGCACAGAGACCTTCACACTATAGCCCTCTCAGCACAGTTTGAACAAGGCCTCCCGTGGTTTCGACTCAGTGCAGCACTAAATAACAAACATAACAAGGACAGTTGTTTCCCTGCAGTGTAAGTGAGAGAACTGCTGCTCCTCTGAAGAAACTGCGTTCCTGGCTCTGATCCAGTTCTCTCTTCTCCTTTCCAGGGAGAGCAGAGAAATTAGCATAAATGACTGAAGTCTTAAACGGCTGCTGGAGTTCACTGCCTCTCGAGTTCTTTGGGGATATGGCTTTGTTTAGAATCTTGTTTTGGTGTTTGGTCAGACAGACACTTGAACAGAAGCCTTTTTTCTGCATTTCTATATTGCTTCAGTTGTATGGTTTCAGTTAAACATCATTCAACAACATTCAACATTCAACATCCTTTGCAGCCAAAGACATTAGAATAGCTGGGACCAGCAGGATAGTGCTCCTATTTTTGAGGTTTTGACAAACTGTTCTGAAACTGTTTAATCTTTTTTGAAGGTGTGGGTTCCCTAGTCAAATTTTGTTCATATAAATTATGGTGTATTTACATCCTCTGTGGGAAGGTTTTTCTGGATGGCAGTACAGAATTTGCATAGTTCAAATTTTACTGCATAAAGAAAATGTGTCTCCTGTAATGGCTTTAGCTGTGGGTGCCTTTTGAGTTTACTGAGTCACCAGCTAAATTAAGTTAAAAACAAGCTATCATTCATGCCACTGCAATTCTAGGATAAACAAATGTCTAAATGTGTCTGGGGGAACACTAGATACGGATGATCAAAGTGTGGCAAATCAGTCAGAGGCTTAAATGACATCGCGGGCTGACAGGAAACTCTCCTGGCTCCGAGCAATCTTTACCCTGTCTGACCTTGAAATCAATACACACAGTGATGAAAAGCAGAAAATATTTTCTCTGGAAAGGATCAAAAAATGATGCAATGACTAACTGACTGGAAACGCTCCCTGAATCCCAGGTGCTACCACTTAGGTCAGTTTCAGTTTAGACTGAGGTTTTGTAAAGCTGCAAAACAATTCAGTGTGGCTTTAAAGGAACAAGTCCACATTTCGAGAATTACCCGACACTTCGATCAGAATACTGATACCACTTTTGTGGCTGTGCGTTAAATGCGGAGATAGAGCCAGGGGGTGTTTCGTTAAGCTAAGCTTAAAAACTGAAAGCAGGGTGAAACAGCTGGCCTAGCTTCCCTCAAAGTTAAAAAATGTGCTTATGTGATGATAAAGACTCCAGAAACTTTGATGAGAGCCAACCTAGCTGTTTCCCCCCTGCTTCCAGCCTGCTAATGCCTCCCGGCTTTAGCTCTATAATAATTGCACAGAGAGAGCATGAGAGCAGTATTCACCTTCTCGTCTAACTCTTAGCAGGAAAGTGAATATACCTTTAACAATGCTCCCTTGAGGCTAGTTAACTAGCACTCAAAAATATGCAAGGCAGGAATTCATATGTAAATAGTTGATGATAATTGGTGAATTTACAGTACAAGATCATTTATGTAATTTCAGGTTTTTATTGCTTCACAACTGAGAAATTCTCTGTCGTACCCATTGATCTTGAACGCACTGAATCATTAATTTCCTTATGCTAAGGAAAGTACAGCACAGAACAAGAGGGTTAAATAAATAAAAAAAACTATGATAGATATGATGCTAATCATACAGGAAAAGTCAGTGGTAGTGAGTGGGAGGCAGCGTGTGCTCATAGTATGTATATTGAAGAAAGGAATGAGACATGAAGAGAGTGTGTGTGGGAATATTTAAAAAACTATTCAAGGTTTGTCTTATTAATGAGCTCCTGTTTTACATTATTGAGAGATGTAGCTTCACATTTATATATATATGTATAAATAAAGTTTTTGCTGGTCTCATTATCTAATTATGTTTTCCTCTAACTTATTTGTAAAACCGAAAGAATGTGTGCCATCGCTCAGATCACGCTGACATAGTTGCAGGTAATGATCCTTGAAAAGTGCTACTGTTATGAAAGGTTCCCCGGTCCAGTTTTTTCTCTTTTTCTTGTTTTAGCCTTTCAGTCATGCCTTCCTCCACTCCAACATACCGTCTATGTGTCAGTATCATTTCACATGCATCACAATAGGCGTCATCACAGTTAAATATAGAATCCAACTGGTCCCACCCTCATGTCACATTTGGCATGCTTGGTTTCGTCTAATATACACTGATTCTTCTTGATCTCCGAAGACCCTTTGAGAGATCTTGGACTACAAGTGAGTCACTCTCCGCCAGTTCCCTTTGTAGTACTAACGGCTAAACTGTATCTTTTGTGGCTAAATCTTAAGTCTCGAGCCAAGACAGAAACAGTTTGTGTTTGTGCATCGTCTTTACTGTAGCCTCTCAAAGCCTGCTTCCGTCATTTGTCTGTATAATTTGTGAGCAATCTGAAGTTTGGTGGTGGATTAAAAATTTTCCTGAACCATATGCATTTAGTTTCAGATAATGAAAAGAATCTTATCAAACGTGATGCTATCCAAGCAGTGACTCATCATCACCACCATTATTTTTCATTAATGATCCCAGGTCCATTAACGGTGCTTTTAAACAAGTCACCCACATCAAGACCTTTTAGTTTAATAAGCAGCCAGCGATGATGAATGGTGATATTTACTGACCTTCAACAGCTATCTTAATGTTAGCACCTGCTGCACACCTCTCTTCAGAAATCGTCTTCTCACAGTGAGGCACCCTCCAACTCTAAACAAACCCAGGTGATTCCTTACGCTCTGCTCTGTCTAACTCGAACAGCTGATCTGCAGAGTAACGCAATGCGTAAAGTAGTAATACAGTAGTTCAATGGTTCACAAACTGTAGTTCAATCAGGAGAGACTTTTATTGCCATGTTCAAAACAAGAGAGAAAAAGTGAGAGATGTGAGAGTCTTTGGCAATTAGACCCCATCGTGATGTCATCATATGTGAAAAACGGGGTGAGGCTGTGCAAAATATAGGATTATAAAATATATATTGTTTTCTAGCTCAACGCCCTCGAGACTGTTTTCCCTTTCAAAATTGTATCATTCACCCCCAACCAACAGTGACTCAAGCGATCACTTTAAGGTAATTTATCAGACTTTGTTTATACAACTTTTTTCACATATGTATTAGTTACTCTCCAAGACCTGGAAACACACTTTTATGAGTTTCCCCTTTAAATGTCCTCAGTATTATTGGCTGGAACTTGCTTTGTCTCCTTTCACAGAAAGCAACGCATCTTTTAACATATGGGAACTGATTATACGAGGGTGTGTGGCCTCCAAACATGTGTCAGGGATCTTATCTCTAGCAGGCCTCATTGAGGAAAAAAAAAGAGAGAAAAAAACAGAGAAACAGACACATACATGCAACATACAGCACAAGGAAGCATTATTGAGGAAGGTTGGCATTGGCTGTATCGTATAATTCTTTTTTTGATATGGAGCAAAAAACACACGAAAAGGATGAGAAAATACATAACAATGGACATAAAAATGGACTTCAAACTATAGTCGTGCGTGAGTTTATGCCAGTGGATGAAGCGGACGTACAGCGGATCTTTTACGAAGGGCTGATGGAGATGGTACCGGACACTGCCTTCAGAGGCTTGAGACATCACCCTGAGAGTCTCCTGATCTACACTGCTATGACAGGTAAGATAACAACATAAATGACACCTTTCTGTGATTGGCTCTGCAGCTCGGAAACAATTTGTAAGATGGTAATAGAAGTACACTGATCAGCAGCCCTGAAGAGAAGAGTGTGAAAAGAGCAACCAGAGAAGATTTTCTTCTTTAAGATACATTTTAAAAACATTTTCTTGATTGCTGCAAAAAAAGCATTAATTATTGTGTTTTCCATGTATGTACAATATACACCGCGTTCCAAATTATTATACAAATTGGATTTAAGTGTCATAAACATTTAATTTTTTGTTTTTCAATTAAACTCATGGATAGTATTGTGTCTCAGGGCTCTTTGGATCATTGAAATCAATCTCAGACACCTTACCTGTGATAATTAGTTTGCCAGGTGAGCCCAATCCAAGGAAAACTACTTAAGAAGGACGTTCCACATTATTAAGCAGGCCACAGGTTTCAAGCAATATGGGAAAGAAAAAGGATCTCTCTGCTGCTGAAAAGCGTCAAATAGTGCAATACCTTGAACAAGGTATGAAAACATTAGATATATAATGAAAACTTAAGCGTGATCGTCGTACTGTAAAGAGATCTGTGGCTGATTCAGAGCACAGTCGGGTTAGTGCAGATAAAGGCATAATGAGGAAGGTTTCTGCCAGACAAACTCATCGGATTAGGAGAGCAGCTGCTAAAATGCCATTACAAAGCAGCAAACAGGTATTTGAAACCGCTTGTGCCTCTGGAGTCCCGCAAACCTCAAGGTGTAGGATCCTCCAGAGATTTGCAGTTGTGCATAAACCTGCTATTCGGCCACCCCTAAACAATGCTCACAAGAAGAAACGGTTGCAGTGGGCTCAGAAATACATGAAGACTAATTTTCAAACAGTCTTGTTTACTGATGAGTGCCGTGCAACCCTGGATGGTCCAGATGGATGGAGTAGTGGATGGTTGGTGGATGGCCACCATGTCCCAACAAGGCTGCGACGTCAGCAAGGAGGTGGCGGAGTCATGTTTTGGGCTGGAATCATTGGGAGAGAGCTGGTAGGCCCCTTTAGGGTCCCTGAAGGTGTGAAAATGAACTCCGCAAAGTATGTAGAGTTTCTGACTGACCACTTTCTTCCGTGGTACAAAAAGAAGAACCGTGCCTTCCGTAGCAAAATCATCTTCATGCATGACAATGCACCATCTCATGCTGCAAAGAATACCTCATTGGCTGCTATGGGCATAAAAGGAGAGAAACTCATGTTGTGGCACCCATCTTCCCCTGACCTCAACCCTATTGAGAACCTTTGGAGCATCCTCAAGCAAAAGATCTATGAGGGTGGGAGGCAGTTCATATCAAAACAGCAGCTCTGGGAGGCTATTCTGACATCCTGCAAAGAAATTCAAACAGAAACTCTCCAAAAACTCACAAGTTCAATGGATGCAAGAATTGTGACGGTGATATCAAAGAAGGGGTCCTATGTTAACATGTAACTTGGCCTGTTAAGATGTTTTTGATTTAAATAGCTTTTGATTTCAGTAAATATGACCTCCTAATGCTGCAAATTCAACAAATTACCATTTTTGGTTCTTTACAACCTATAAAATGTTTTGAAACTCTATTGTGCATAATAATTTGGAACAGTGCATTTTGACTTTTATTTTTGAAAAAAATACAGTTGATGACTTGAAAATTATACTGACTGTCATTTGCATCGACTATTTAGGAAAATCTGAGAAAAATAACATTTGCATAATAATTTGGAACGTGCTGTATATATATATATATATATATATATATATATATACACACACACACACACACATATATATTATATGTTTAATCAGATTTAACATTGTGTTTGTTCTTGCTCTGTTATGTTGTTTTCTTGTTGTTGGCCTCAACTTTAGATTTTTGTTACACTCACACATCTGTCCATATCTTATCTCCGGCAGTTCTATGTTTTGTCATTACCATGTGTTGGTGGGTGATAGGACTCCTCCCAGCAATTGTGCTGTGTGGGCGCTACTTCTACAGCAGGCGTGTCATCCATCGTTACCTGGAATGCGCCATGAGCAGAGACATGGGTGACATTGAAGGGTTTTACACAAAATCACCAGGTATATATTGCTTATTTTGTAATTTCATTTACATTTCATAGGCAGTATGCACCGAAAAGACTCTCTACACCTATTTCTGACTTACAGTGATTGTAGATACTGTACAGCACCCAAGTAAAATGTTTCTGAATCGTAATTCCTCTTGTATTTCCCATTTAAGCATGCCAATACATAAGAATGACCCACTGAGCATAACATAGTCAGTGTTTTCTAATCCTCTAAAGCCAGACATCTTAAGTTTTAATAAACTATAGTAAAATATCAGTTTGCATATATACACATGTATCAGCTAAAATGTATCGAATCCCGTTTCTTAGTTTTGTCACAATACTTTTTTATTTCAAGGCCTGAAAAATGTTAAAGGGCCAAAACAATCAAATTTTGGCTAGCAAAAACTTATCACAACTGTTTTGTTTAATTGATAATTACTACAAAAGTTGTGCTTTCAGTTGAAAGCCTTGGCATCTACATGTACTAGTCATCTACAAATGTTAGTAGATGATGTAGATGAGATTAATGAATGGGATTAAAAATTTAAAATAGATACACTTTAGCCTTATTTTGTCCATACTGGCTGGAACCTTGGCCATGGAAGATTCTGAGTTTTTTGTAACAGGATAATAAAAAAAAAGAAGTTTTTTTTGGTGTTTGATTTTTTGACAACATTTCTAAGTGAAATACAGCACCAGAATTTGTTAAGGAAATAACGTTAAAGTTCTGGACTTAATTAATTATTGTCTGTGATGTCCACCAGCTTTAACTGAGATGGAGACAGATATTCTATGTCTGGTAATATGAAATATCACAACTTATTAGCTAAAAAATATAAAATTAGATAATATGAAACACAATTACAGCAGTACATTACATCACTGAAAATTAGCAGTCATATTGCCGCTAAAGTTCACCAGTTTATTAGGATAACTGGTCTTTCTAAAGTAATGCCTGATAATGAATGTACAGGAAGTACAGACCACAAACCTGTAATAGGGTGAAAATGGAATAAAAGGGGCTTTGTTCTTCTTCTTTAACTTATTGGAAAAAAGATGAATTATGATTTAAACTGAATGATTATTGGATGATATTTTCTTTTATTCGCCATGTTTATGCTGTGCCCTCCACATCAGACTCCTGTCTGTGGGTAGCAGTGCTGGAAGGCAAAGTGGTGGGTGTCGTAGCAGCAGTCGGCCAGCAGAAGTCAGGAGGTGCTGTCGAGCTGCAGCGGATGTCTGTTGACCGGAGCTGTCGGCGGTGCGGGGTAGGGGTTGCACTGGGACGGAAAGTCCTGGAGTTTGCTGCCGCTCACAGATATTCTTCTGTTGTGCTGGGAACCACGGCGTACACACCGGCTGCTCACCAGCTCTACCAGCGTCTGGGTTTCCGCTGTGGGATGGTCACCAATGGGTACGTCACACACGACGCAAGATGGTCCTTACTGGAAAGAATATTCTATAGAGTCCGCCATCACCACTACAGCAAGATCATTTCAAATGGACAACACTGATCTTTGTGACAGTGACAAACAACAGCCTTGCCAACTGTTCAAATACTTATAGTCTGCAGCTGTGTGGCTGTGTCCCAGTTCAGGGGCCGCATCCTTCGAAGGTTGGCATATGAAGACCGCCTACGTCACAGCAGCACAACTAGGTTGTTCCATTTCAAGGGCTTCAAATGTGGCCTTCTTTTTCTGGGCAACGAAGGCTCCGACGGGTTAGTCTTTCGTGGCCCGATGTATCCCAAGATTCATTGCATGCCGGTTATGAAAATAATATGGCAGCAAAGAACACCGATAGAGAGCCCGATGATTAGTTTTTAATTTTGTACTGGGTTTCAGCTCAGTTTAAAAGTTACATGCTGTCAAGGTTGCGAGGCAACAGGAGCTGCGCTTTGTGATACAACAGATGCACATGCGAAAATCCTCTGTGGGCCAGACCTTGTCATTACAACTCAGCTTTTGCAATCTACGACCGCTACGAAGGGCCATATGTTCGTGAGCCACGTCCTCTGAAGGATGCAGCCCCTGAACTGGGACACAGTTCATGTCTAGGTTGCATTAACTCGCTTAATCAGGTTTACTGCATGGCCAGAACCTTTGACTTCTACGCCACAACATGGAGGCTCACACTGAACGTAAGCCTGGAGCCGTTGGCCGGTTTTGTTAGTTTATTCAAACAAAATGGCCACACTCTCAAAAATGCTGAAAAAGAGAGTTATGTCTGAATGAAAATGCAGACTACTGTATGTATAAATGTAAGATTAAAACAAGATCACCACAGTTGATAATGGATCTTCTGAAAAACAGGAAGACAACTGACCAAAATTTCTGACATCCAGTCAATCATCCAAGAGCCAGATTGTTGATTGTTCAGATGATAATCAGCCATCATGACCCACCTCAAACTGCACGTCAAACAACAACTAACATGACAGAAATTCAGACAGAATTTAAAGCTCGTTTGGAGGCCAATTCTGAGCTGAAAGCAGATTTAATCCATCCAGAGTCTGGCAATGATAAACCATTTATTTTTTTATTTAGGTTCAAGGACTTGTGAGAATTGTCATTTGTAATGCTATGTGCAACGTGTGTATTATTTTTAAACAACATATTTTATTTAGTTTCAGTTATTATAGTAGGTCAGTATTGTCTGCCCCATTTGAGATTCCTTAATACAATCCAATATGTATAAATGACTAAATAAATATGTTATACAAAGATGTATTTTCTGTTGTATGTGCTGTTTCTTTGTCTGGCTGTGTTTGTTGTATATACTTGTCCTTTTGTTATATCTGGCTGTGTTTTTCTTTTTGATCTGAGATCTTGATCTGAATGAGGTAACCTGACAAATAAAGGCTATGTACTACATTTCTATAAAGATGAGGGACTCACAGGAGACAAACAAATTCACTTAAATGACTCAACTCTAAAAATGCCACATCTGCCAACTGAATATTGTCTTTCAGTAGACCCTGCCTCCTAAATTCCCACATCCTCACTGATTGTGAAAAATACAGCCGAGATAACAGTGTAACAATTGAGCAGCTCTGTCAGGACTCTTCACTTCCTCTTGCTTTGTCTTCAGTTAGACTTAATCAGTGTTAAGACATGTTGACTCAGCAAGAGTGGTAAGGGTCATCAAAGTTTCTGTCTGTTGCTTCTGCTTGTATTTTATCAACATGTCATACCCAAGTCCTATGAAACGATAAATGAAGAAATGACCACTAACATTCATAACATGAAACTAAATGTTGTACTTTGTCATCTGTCAGCACCTTAAGCGCTGTGGGTCAGTCGACTACCATTTTACCTTTCAGTTCAGTTGAATTTGGTTTAAATGTCTGGGAGAGCTAGTCAGAACCGTACTGTAGGCTTATGTATATGTTATTGTGTATGTTGTGAAGTAGGCCTACAGCATTGTAATGCATTGTGTGTGTGTGTGTGTCATCATGGCAGAATGTGGTCCAGGAAACACCTACTGCAGCGAGAGCGACCAAAGAGGTGGTTTTGAGTACTGGGTGGTGTTTATATGTCTATATGTGATATTGTCACTGCGATAGCGTCGGAGCCTGCCTCTCTCCCTCCCCCTGCCTTTCCTGTCTCTCTGTCACTGTTGCTAATGGAATTAAAGAAAAAAAGTGATGGACTCGGCTGGGACGCATTTGTTGTTCAATGCCCCAATTGTGCATGCCTGCCTGCCAGGTTCATCACTTTCTTAGTGTCCCCTGGAAACACTTCAGTTGTGTTGTGAGTATTTGCAGCACATGTGTCGTCAAGCTGCTGATGTTCTCTGAATTTGTTTGTGTTTTGTCTATTTGCATGTTTTCTTAAGTTGCAGTGTGTTGAGCTCTCAGGGCCACCGTAGTCATGAACAGAAGTGGAGTCACTGAAAAACTTTATTCAGATTTATTGCACAATATGAATTTAAAAGATGAAATGACGCGCTATGACTCTTTTCATATTTTACAAATTCAGCATGTTTCTTCTGAGGGTGAACTAACTTCAAACAATTTCATGCATTAAAAACTGAGCAGACTTATTGACTCAACCACAGGCAACAGATATACAACTCATGGTGTCCCTCAACATCTGCTTCACAGACGATAGTCTCATCTAATGGCAAACGCTCATTATTGATGTGTGTGCGGCTCTCCAGTATGGTCACGCTCATGTACCCTGTAATATAAATTAATAAATCTAAAATATTTCCTGTTTAAGATCCCACCAACAGCAGCATGTTTCTCAGTAGGCCTGTCACCCTGTAATATCAGAATATGTGAATATGTTTCTAAAAAATATCTACACTCATAAACACTCAGGTGATTCGCCAACATTTTTACATGGGTGCAAACAAGTCCAAGACCATTTCAAACAGAAACACCTACATGAATGGAAGCCACATACCGCCATTGTGGTAGGGTATTGGGGTTAAGGTCACAACTGATGTGGGGGGGGGGGGGGCATGCAGCAACCTAGACATTTCCGCAATGCAAGCTGTGTGTTTCCTGGCCATTGTCCTGTTCTTATTGCCTCACTGTATGTTCAGGATGGGTTGCGTCAAATAGAAAACGCTGATATGCTGTATTACCTACAGCATGTGATTTTCAAACAGTAACCTGACTAAGCATGAGTTGTTGCAGACCCATTCGAGCTTTGGAAATGTTAGCTCCTGCCTGACTGTTCCACTACTGTGTTGTTGTGATCCAGAAACTTGAGCTTAATGGTGTGATTTTCAAACACAGTGGACACTGAAAATATACTGCATGTAGTGTGTAACAGTAAGAGTGATGTGGGAGCGCAACTAATGTTATGATTGAATTTACTGCATTATTAAATAATATGAAAATATCCATCAAGTTCAAATGAATATGAAGAAAATAAAAAAATCTCTGCCTGCTCTATGATCTCAGTAAGATTAAGAGCAGTAAGCGTTATTTTCAACTTAATCAGGAAACTGGTTTTTGGAACAAAATTTGAGCAATCGACCTGACTCTGACTTTTCCACAGTACGATGTGCATGTTCAGCATTTTCATATTTTGCGAAATCGGTTCTTCCTCATATTACATAACTTCATGTTGTTAAATTAGCAAATAGTTGCTGCTGCACTATGTAGAACTCTCAGTGGAGCAACAAACAACAACAACAAACACAACAAAACAAACATGACAAACAACTTTATCTCCCACGATCTCAAACACAGCACGGCTCAGTGGTATTCACCCAAGTGCCACCGTGGCCTGAGAGGTGGCAGGTGTTTAATTTCAACCCGCAACATACATTCATTTCACAAATAAGTTCGTTTTGTCTGGTAAATAAAGTCAACTGCAGTTATTATAAACACTGCAGCAAAAATTCACCAATTCACCATCAATTAGGGGCGAGAGGGGCTCTTGCTCCGCCCACTGACCAACCTACAATTTCTGCCCCACTGGCCTCAAGTGCCAAGGAAACCGCACAAAGATTTATTGTGGGTGCAGCATTTCAGGAAGCATAAGTGAAATGATTGTGCAGGGTGCGGTTACGGGAAGTTATTAGGTTAGGTTTTACTCTTTGCACAAAACATATTCCCAATTCTTTGACCGTGTTATCATCTCTACAAGCACAGGTAAGCTATTTTCTTTATATCGTACATTCATGGAATTTGGTTTTTCATTATCCACTGCTGCACTACAAAAACGCTAAACCTTGAAAACTAACTTTTTTTTTTAGAAGCAATCAGTAACAGAATAAGGAGTTTCAGCACCTTGACAATGTACTGAATACTGATGTTTCAATTCAAAAGTAACACAAGCTCTAGACTCTAGAGACAAGAGGAACTTACTGGAGGCCACAAAAAGAGGAATATAAACAACAGAAATAAATGAAAGGAGATACATTTTAAGGGACCATTACTGAAAACTCAGCAGCTATTTCAGAAGTTAATGCTACTGTTTTTTTGTTTTTTTTGTTGGTATTTTTTTTTTTTTGCAGATGCAAAGATGAGTGTCGAGTACCATGCCTCTGCTGTTACAAACATGGACATGGAGGACAGTAAAATTGGATACAAACAATTTTCAGCGGATGGCAGCAAGCTCCGCTGTACAGGTAATAAAGCAGGAACTTAATTTATTACCTGGGTAATAAACCTTGGATGGCTGAGACAATGACATGATAATAAAAATGGTTCCCCTCGGCTCAACAGAGCTTTTAATCAACTTTCAGTGCCCACTTTTCTTTGTTTTAGTCTGGTCTCACAGCTCTTGGAAATACCTAAAAGATTGCTGCTTGCCTCGCTCCACAGCTGAGAAAAAGTAATTGTTTTTGAAATAGTTTGGAATATTTTTCATACCTGAGAATATCCCACCTTCATAAAGTATTTGATAGAAAAGATCTAAAAGGAACACTAATGGAACCAATAAAATTACATTAATTGATTTTTTATTTTTTTTGGCTTTTTGTTGGCAGCAGGATAAGCTGTTAACACAACATTGACATACTGTTACCTTAGCAACCAATTGGAAATTTACAC